CAGAGGCCTCTACGCAAACAGAGGAGCAGAATTCACGAGAGTCAAAGGGCAGAGCTGTCACTGGCAGTCGGGGACCCAGGTCCAGAAGCATAAGGTGCCACAGATCCACTTAGAAACAGAGAGCACCGCTATTACACCTGCCAACGGCCTACGTACTTGCTGAACAGGTGACAACCTCGTTTCCATATTGTTCAAGGAGTGCAAGTGTAACAAAATGTGTAAAATCCTTTAAAACCATTGTTTTCACTTGTGCACCCTCTAAATATCCCTGGACCCCTTATCTGTGCTGCGGGGGCAGCCGTGACGTGAGGGCTAGTGGATTTATTTGCATTTCAACAAGCATTATCAAAAGATAGAATTAATAATCGCCTCTGGTCTCTGCCCTTTTCATTTCGAGAACAGCCATGCTAGGGCCTCCGCACTGCACAGCGTGAGGGCTGGGAGAGGTCTCCTTGCCCATATTCCCCTGAGAGTTGTGTTCCACAGAACACAGCTATTTCAGCAGAATCCTTGGGATTACATAGCTCAGTTGGTTGGAACATCATCCCAATATGCCAAAGGTTTCAGGTTCGATCCTTGGTCAGGGCTCATACAAGAATCAACCAATGAATGCATCAATAAGTGGAACAACAAATTGATGTTTCTTTCTCCCTACCTCTCTCTAAAAATAAATAAATAAATAGATTTTAAAAAATAAAGTCAATTTATCATCAAATTTTCAGGAAAATATTGGTTAAAATATTAAACTAATAAAATTTAAATTAAGACCAAAAAAGTTAAGAGCAATTACTCATGATACAGGAGTGGACACATGTTATCTTCAGAAAGAAAGGCAAATGTAATACATAGTTTTCCAATGTTAAAAGTGGATTTGCATTCGTTATAGTGGTTTGTTTGAACGTAGTAATTGTACCAATTACAAGCAAAACAACAATTTTGCATGATGTCTATGTAGTTGAGACAAAGTAAGCTTGAAGGAAAAATGCATTCTAAATAACAACTACTGTCTCCCGTCAATCCTAACACTAAAACCAACAAAAAGATATTGCGATCAAACGTTTTCACTATAAAGTCTTTATAACTAAGCAGGCATTGGCTCATGAATAGACAGCCTGATGGAACAAAATGGGAAATCGGAAAGACCCAAAGACAGAAGGAAATGTAGTGGACGCTGCAGGCAGCCACCTGAACCAGTGAGGAAAAATGGACTCTTTAATCAATTTGTTGGGATAATGAACAGAGTATAGAAAAGGATAAAATGAATCCATTCCTTATATTCTTTACTGTAAGAAATGAAACCATAAAATCATGAGCAGAGAATATGGATGAATTTGTCTATAACCTAGAAGAGGAAGAACATCCCTCATTAAAAAGACACTCAAGTATATGGCCAGGGGAAGAACAGATAGTTCCCAGCGGACGAGGCGCATGGCGACACCTAGCAGGGTGCACAGGCACTATCTCTGACTCAGCAGTCCCGCCTCTAGAAGCTTTCCCGTGGGTAAAATGGGGAAGTACAAAAAGGCAAGTCCTTGTTAATCCCCTAGGACTGGAGAAAGCCCCAATGCCCACCAACAGGGGGCAGACTGAGTCAACTGGGACTGCCACACGCCAGAGCAGCATGCAGGAGCAACGAGGAACATGCATCAACCTACCAAGTGGGCTCCTAACACCTGTTCTGTAAAAAGCCAAGAAAGAAAGAGATAAAAATAGTCACGTATTTGTTTATATTTTTGTTTAAAAATGAAAGGATACACCATAAAAACCTATGGGGGAAGGAGTCAGGATATAAACTCTTTGAATATACCTTATTGTAGTGATCTGACTTGGAACCCTTTAAATATTTACATAACAAAATATAAAATAAAGCAATTTCTAAAAATCAAAAGTAAAATGAAACAAGTTAATCTAACTGTATGTCCCGGTGGTGCATAATCACATGGAAGGGAATTACTCCAAATGACCTAACACACAGTAAGGTGATGGACATTCCCATACCACCCGAAGGACAAAAGAACCACCAACAATCGGACTTTTCTCAGTAGCCCCATGTAGGAGCCGCAGTGTCGGTATCATTCTGTTCTGTGTGCTGTGGGACAAATCAAAGGGACCAGTGTGCTGGGTGGCCGTTAGGGAGATGTCGGCGTGGCTGGAGGAGATTCAGGTGCACAGGTAGATAAGGTCAGTGTCTCGCAGCCCTGACCTGGTTCTATCCACATGACCTTATACTGGATCTCATCTTTAAACAATGCAGACTTCTGCGCTGGCCGGGTGGCTCAGTGGGTCGGAGCATCATCCATACAACAAAATGTGGTGAGTTCGATTCCCAGTCAGGGCACACGTGGGAGGCAATCGATTGATGTTTATCTCTCACTTCAATGTTTCTCTCTCTTTCTCTCTCCTTTCCTCTCTCTAAAAGCAATAAAATAAATTTTAAAAACCAACTTCTAAGCTCTGTCAACTGCTGAGGCCTAGAAACAATGGACAGCAAGCTCCTCCGGCACCCAGCCTACGGTCTGTAAACCGCAGGGCTCCTTGGCGACACGGGGACCAGATCTAGGGCAGGAAACGTGCCAGGTGGGCTTGCAGCACCTCGCCACACCCGAAGGCAAGGAGGCTGTCACAGAGCAGGGTCAGGGACGGGGACTCATCCTTCAACCTGAGTAAACTCCCACCAAGTGCAGATGACTGGGAATACACTGTATATATTACAATCCATGATTCAAATTATAATGTTAAAAAGTCACTTCCGGAAGACAGAGGGATCACCTTATTGAAAACCTCCTCCTGCCTAAAGAGAGGCATTTCTCTTCCTCCAGGAACTACAGTTCAAACATGAAGGTGGGACAGAGAATGTTGCCACTAGTTTCTATGATTTAAAAATGTAGGCAGGCCCTAGCCAGTGTGACACAGTGGATAGAGCATGAGCCTGTGGACTGAAGGGTCCCAGGTTCATTCCAGCCAAGGGTACATGCCCAGGGTGCAGGCTCAATCCCCAGTGGGGGACTTGCAGAAGGCAGCCGATCAACGATTCTCTCATCATTGATGTTTCTAACTCTCTCTCCCTCTCCCTTCCTCTCTAAAATCAATAAATATATTGGTTTTTTTGAAAAAATGTAGACAATACTCACCAATAGCTAGTAACAACACAGACACAATCACAAGAAAGTGTGTGACCCTGACAGAAGCCCCACACCTATGAATAAGTCTTGCCTCTCCTCAGAAACCAGCAAATATAATGACACTTGAATCTGACCAAACCTCTGCTGCTCCCCGTTTGCAGGAAACACAAAGGTCAGCCTCACATATTCAACAATATGCAATGGAGATGATCCAACTTTTACAACAGAAAATTAAAGAAAAAGAAAAAGAGAAGGATGAGCGAACCTAAAGATACAAGAAACTGAACAATTGCCAAGCAATTATGATGTGTAGGCCTGGTATGAATCTGACTCACACCAACTGCAAAATGAACATGGACACACTTCAACACAAATGTGTGCACATCACAGAGCCACCACAGACTGTGCACACCCTGAGGGAGCCCCCACACCTGCACCTCACACACCTGCCCACACCCTGGGGGGAGCCCCCACACCTGCACCTCACACACCTGCCCACACCCTGGGGGGAGCCCCCACACCTGCACCTCACATACCTGCCCACACCCTGGGGGGAGCCCCCACACCTGCACCTCACATACCTGCCCCCACCCTGGGGGGAGCCCCCACCCCTGCACCTCACATACCTGCCCCCACCCTGGGGGGAGCCCCCACCCCTGCACCTCACATACCTGCCCCCACCCTGGGGGGAGCCCCCACCCCTGCACCTCACACACCTGCCCACACCATGAGGGGAGCCTCCACAGCTGAAGTAAACATCACAGGTTGCAGTGAAGTCAGCTCTGATTCTTAACTTCTGCATGGCAGGTCAGAGGATTAGGAAGACCGTACAAAACCCCCAAAGCCCTCTCAAGTAACCGACTGCAGCTTAACTCTGCTCCCTGCTGGTAAGTGAACATCCCTCGAGGGCTGCCGGGCTGCCAGAAGGATGTCTGACTGCCATCTTAGGCCCGATCCCCGCAGGGAGAGGGCCTAAGCCAACAGGTGGACATCCGCCGAGGTCCCAGACTGCAAGAGGGCATAGGCCGGGCTGAGAGAGCCTCCCAAGTGCACAAATTTTTGTGCACCGGACCTCTAGTACTATAATAGCTATGTACACTGCCGGGGGGGGGCGGGTATTTGAAATATCAGGGGTCTATTTTGTAAAGTACATGGCTGTCTAACCACTATGCTGTACACCTGAAACTAATCTACACTAATAAAAGAGAAAGATGCAAACTGACTGTACCTTTATGGCATCCACCAGCCAATCAGGAGTGAGTATGAAAATTAACCCAACAAAGATGGCGGGTTAATTTGCATACACAGGCGACAAGCGTCCCACCCCGCCCCAGCCACTCCCAACCTCTGGGCAGCATGGGAAGGCAGAAAGGCGGCTCCAGGCCAAGTGAAGGCTGGAGCGAAGGCGGTGCCGGTAGCCAGGGGAAGGAAGGCCCATTCTTGCACAAATCTTCATGCATTGGGCCTCTAGTATAAAATAATATTGAATGTGAACTGTAATTGAAAAGTAAAATGTAAGCCCTAGATGGTTTGGCTCAGTGGATAGAGCATCAGCCTGCGGACTCAAGGGTCCCAGGTTCGATTCCAGTCAAGGGCATGTACCTGGGTTGCAGGCACATCCCCAGTAGGGGGCGTGCAAGAGGCAGTTGAATTGATGTTTCTCTCTCATCGATGTTTCTAACTTGCTATCCCTCTCCCTTCCTCTCTGTAAAAAAAATCAATAAAATATATTTAAAAAAAGAAGATAAAAAAAGAAAAGTAAAAAGTTAAAAAAACTGGTTATATGACCACTCCAATTTCAGCATGCAGTTGTGGAGGTAACTGGAGAGAATGGGCAGGTGGAAGGCGAAGGTAGCAGAGGCAACAGCAGGAGCTCACCCAGTCCTCCCGGGCCCGCCAAGAGAAACTCCTGCCTCCCTATCCGCTTGACGATGGGGCGCTTCTCCTCGCTGCAGTAAGGAAACAGGTCCTGGGCGGCGCCCGTGCTGTAGTTCAGGATGATGTACTGCGTGGTCAGAGCCAGGCACAGGAAGTGGCCGTCCACCGCCACCGCCAGGGGCTGCTCCGGCGTGGACACCTCCCTGACGATCTGGACCCGGTCCTCGTACACCATGAACACCTGGATGGTTCTGCGCTTCACAGAGATGATGCAGACCTCCACACAAAACGGGTCCCCGCTCACAGGGTTCTCGTTCAAGGCCAACGCCACAGCCCCCTTGATGCGGGCCCCCGAGGGGACAGGCTCCAGGCTCAGCATGTGAACCAGGGTGATGGAGCAGTCACAGAGCACCAGCAGTCTGTGCAGGGCCGAGGCGGCTCGCAGCTCGCACACTGGCTTCCGGAGGCCCAGCTGTCTGTGTCGCTGCTTGGTGGCCGTGAACGTGGCCGTCCCGGCAGGCAGGCTCTGCTCCTCCAGCAGGAAGTGGTAGATGGAGCAGTCGTTGGTGCCCACGTAGAGGTTCTTGCCGCAGCACTCCACGCACTCGATGTTGACGCGCTCCTTGTCGCCCATCAGCAGCTCCCGCTCCACGGCAGAGACCAGCGTGAAGGCCTTGGTGCTCATCATGCCCGCTGCTGGTCTGCAGGAAGAGGAAAGGAAAACGGTGTTTACCTCATGAGGAGTGAGCGGAGCCATTTCAGGTCACAATAAACATACACTGACTCCTCAGTTACAACTTCAGGGAAGGAAAGCATTCAACACTGTTAAAAACAGTGAAGGCAAAAGGTTTCCCACTTGCCTGCTCCCCCCAGACCAACGGGAGAGGCCAGCAGGAGAGCATGCGCTCATCCAAAAGCAGGGCGGGGGGTGCGGTCCATGTGGGCTTCCTCGCTCTGTATAGGAGACACACCTGCAGGCAGAAGACAAGCACACATATCCCCACAGACAACATAAAACTGTGAAACTGTGTGGAAAAGGCAGAAACAACCTTCGCGATCTTGTCCTGAGTTCTGCATGTAGTGAATGGTGGGACGCACTGCATGGTGTTGCTAAACCCTGCCCTGGGACCCTGTCGGGAACACTGGGCAGGAGCCACACTCGCTTCCTACGAGGGTTCTTCCCTATGAGGGTGCACGTGGTCCAGCACCACAGCTGGCCCCAGAGTAAGCGTGTCCGTGTGGAGTAAAGACAGGCACATCTCCGTGTCTCTCGGGAGGGCTTGCGAGGTCACGGGCCTGGCAGGTAACGGCCACTCCCACTGAGGACAGGCTGCCCTCGCTCACCTGGCTTCCTCTTCTCCCTCTGAAGGGCTGGTGTTTCCACTGCACAAAGACAGGCAACGAAAGTGGCAAGATGGCCTTTCCCTGATCTCAGTCCCTGCTACCCTCACGCAGGAGAGGGAGCCAAGCTCTGGGAACTGCAGGGGACTGAGCCAGGAGGCTTCGAGAACTGTCTGCCACTTCAAGCTGCCCCCCAAAAGGTGCCTCCTGAGAAACTAAATTCCTTAATCACCTTGCAAAGGCTGGAAGAGACCTTGGAAATGTTCAAGGAAGATGTATGCATCAGGGAAGGGCAGGAATCAACTCAAAGATTTCAGAATTCTACAATTTCTTATCCCTCTGTCCACTGGAGCGGTGACAGCTACACAAAGGGAAACTCAGGTTCCCCTCTGTGTGTCCCAGAATGCCCAGGGCTGGGATGAGGTTTCCACTGGCACCAGTTCCTCCCTATCCCTACCTGTCGCTTGGTAGCAACATGACCTTGGGAAGCTCACTTGGCTTCTACCTGCCTCAGGGCCCTCGTCTGTGAGTGAGAGCAATGATGGTGCCTACTTCATATGGTTCTTTTGAGAAGGCTAAAAAGAGCTAATTCCAACGTAACCCTGATATTTGGGGGGCTAGCAATTGGAATCCATACCAGCAAGCTCAGTGTACATTCTTGATAACCTATAATTAAGTCACTACCTCCTTCCCAGATACTGGTCTTGAAGAACCTATTACAGAGGCCATAAAACTGTGAACAGTGCACTGTCCCAGAGGGAGGGTTATTAACGCTGGCGCCAGGCCCAACCATCAGATATGGCCTGGAGGCCCCCAACACCTGCGAAAAGGACCGAAAGAATAATCCATATTTGCGGGACAAGGACCACAGGGAGATATAAAAAGAAGCCCCCTGCATGTTTCTTCACTCAGATTTGAAAGTTATTCCCTGAGTCCGCTGGCGTAGTAAACAGTGTCCCTCCTTTTCTTTAAAGCCTCGCTTGGTTTTTCTTTGGTCTTCTACAACACTGTGAGGATTAGCCAACCCCCGTGCGCACTCACTGAAAGTTCGGGTGGGTCTCTCGGCCCCCAGCGTACTCTACTTTTAACTCCACGCTGGGCTCCAAAGGACGGAGCGGTGCTGTCCACGGCCCTGAGCTGGCGACCCGTGTCCCCCTGACTGACAGATAGAATGTAGTCCTTGCATTTACATGTGCTCCTCCGCACAGCGCCATGGGAAACACGCTCAGAGGCCTCAGAGAGAAGGAATCTCGTCCATCCATCCATCTGGGCTGCACAACCCCCAGGGTCCCCGGGAAAGCCTAGGGCTAGGGAAGAGGGCTTTTAACCTGACAAGTTTCACACACCACCGTCTATGTGCCATGACCAAGCAGAATCACCAAAATCCACCCTAGACACAACTCTTTCCATTTAAATCCTAATGAATTGAACACTTATATTGAAACAGAACGGTTCTTCCTTCAGTGATGGGCAAAGAGGGCTGTCTTCTCCGAGGGCAGGGCAGCCACTCCTCTGCTGGGACATGAAATCGGTGGTTCACTTCGCAGCAGAAACAGAGAAACAAGCTTCAGGCATGCAGACTCCCACTCGCTATTTAACTTCTTTAAGTATATCACCCATAATTCTAGTCTCTACGTTGACCTAGCATGAGAGGTAAACAAAAGATGTTTGCCGTAAAGGATACAGCTTGGAACCTTGACCAACATGGGATTTGGGGTGCCCACACCCCCCCATGCAGTTGAAAACCCACAGAAATAAAACTGCCCTCTGCACATGCGGATTCCCAGCAGCCAGCTGGTCCTTGAACAACACAGGTTTGAACTGCACAGGTCCAGTGAACTGAGTGGGTCGCCTGAAAAAAAAATCCACATATCAGTGGACCTGCACAGTTTAACCCCACCTTGCTCAAGGGCCAAATGCATATGGAAAACAATCAAACACCTCATATTTAGCCTAAATACTGGGGTGGAGAGCAAAGGAAAGAAGGAGGAGAGAGTTGTTTTAAAAAAAAGCTTCGGTTTATCAAAAAATCATAATTCTATAATGTTTAAAAAGCCATGCAGTACTGTTTCATTATCTGGTATTCAGTGACTCAAGTCTTGCTAAAAATAAGTGTCCTACTATAGGTCTTTAAATAAGGGACCTGCTTTAATAATTAAATGGTAATTTGTAAGAAGCGGAATGCTGTCAATAACACAGTAGAGTAAGATGTTCCTTTTTAAACAACCAATTAGCCATCCGTCAGCAAATAAAAGCTCCCCTGTGGGTGTTGTGGGGACTTGGGGATGGGGGTGGGGGTGGGGCTCACCCACCCAGACATGCAGTGACAGGCAGACAAAACTCAGTACCGCCTGTGGAACCAGTGGACCCACAGGCCTGCCCAGACCCCTCTCCCACGGCTGGAATGTAAACCTAGAGAATGCCAATGCTGACCTGGGCAGACATACAGATGAGAGAGAGAATTTGCACAGGTCATGACGTCCTGCAGGGAGATTCCAGTATACTACTAGAGCAGCGGTTCCCAAAGTAGGGCACACGCCCCACAGAGGGGCAATTTGGTTTTTAAGGGAAGCACTTCGAGAATGAGTTATTAACAGTGAATTTTTTGCATTTCTTATGGTTCTAGGGGCCTCATCCTATCTAATAAAAGAGAAACATGGTAATTAGCGTACGACCGCTACCCTTCCCATTGGCTAATCAGGGCAATATGCAAATTAAATGCCAGCCAAGATGGCGGCCGGCAGCCAGGCAGCTTGAAGCGAACAGGAGGCTTGCTTGCTTCAGTGGCAGAGGAAGCCAACATTCCCTGCCTCCCACTG